TGCAGTTTGATTACTTTTATGTCACAGATTACAAGAAGCATGCTGTAAATGAATTTAGGATAAGAGTTGGAATACCTTATTGCCACGCTTGTTCCAGACCAAATCTATACTTTATGCTTGTTGAAGCCAAATCAGCATGACAGCCATTGTAAAAGCATCCACATAATTGCAGAAGCAAATGCAATAGTCATGTTTTAGGCCACAATGGCTAAATTGAGTAATGCCATACTGCAATGCTGAATAACAATAACTGAAAATGTAAACTAGATGTTTTATTTTGACCAATGTGGAAAAGAAGAACATATTTAGGAGTGTTCTTGAGGCCAAGTATAGAGGTTATATTTCCCACTCTTAATTTACCCAATTTGATTGATTTTATGTAGATGAATCTGGCAGACAGATTGGTAGGGAAAAAGCTACATTCTTCCTGCTAATGGATTGCAAGGCAGCCAGGATCTGTCCTGCCATAGCTCTGACCATGCCATAACATTCCATATACAGAGTTTTCTGTGATCTGGCCAGGTATTAAAAAGGAAGTGAAAAGCCATTGTGAAAATAAAAAGCTTCAGCCCTTCATTTTACTCTAGAAGGTGTATTTTATTTTGTGGTTACCTGAGGGACCTAGGATTCATTAACATTTGGATTATACTAGGGTTGCACAGATACCAAGTACAGTACTCGGTACAAGTACGAGTACATGTACCGATACTTTTGAGCTCCAAGACTAGACTAGAGAAAAATTCAAAAATTAGGAGGCAGCTGTCATTTGTAAGGAGCACACGGAGCTCCCGGGATTTGTACATCTTTGTTTTTATTGTACGATTTTGTTTTTATAAATATAAATAAAGTGATGCACAGATACCAGTTTTGCGAGTACGAGTACTGGTACTTGCCGAGTACTTACAAGTACGAGTACTGATACATTTTTGTTTATTGTCATGTGACAGTTTTTCTAAAACAATACAGACTAATGATTTCAGGACAGTGGTGGAGCGCCAGAGCCAGGTCCCAGCTGCATCCGCTGCAACCATGGTAGTTCTCATGAAAATGCCAAGTATCTGCACTGGTGCTCGAAAAGTATCTGTGCATCCCTAGATTATACTGCCACTTACAGGAGGATTTGGACACTGGCAAACAAAAAGCACTTCATGCCTCAGTTTGTCTTAGTGTCCTAGGGGGGTGGCTGTTTCTTTTCTACTGAAAAAAAGTTTAATTCATTTTTACTAGCAATTTTTTTTTTTTTCAAGATCATTTTTTCTTTATGTAAGATTTCATCTACACACTTGACTGGACTATTGAACGGTCTGCCTGGAATTTTACCTTTTGGACACTAGGCTTTGCATGTGGTGTTTATCAGACCTCTTAGCACTGTGTTAGCCACAGATCGCTTTTCAGGTCCAGAGCCATGGCAGAGCCTCTGGGGTGAGCCAATCTTTGAAGACTTATTTATGAGTAGGTGTGTTGGCTGAGCATCAGGAGCTACTATATTTATTAGAACCATTTGGTGCCCATATTATCCACATTTTTTCAATGGTCTCCAGGGAAAGGATTAAAATGATGAAAGATTGACTTCCGCATCACTAGGTGGAGTGTCGTGCAGTGCATGGGTCTTTTCTAGAACAGGGGTTATCGCCCCAGCACCTGTTTCAGAAAGTTTATAGGTACTTTATTCCAACCAATTCTGTATGGAATCCACCAAGTCTGTCATAGCCACCCTTTTATCAGGCAGGCTTTCTGATCTCTGAAGAAATGAAGGATGCGTACTTGCATGTTCATTTTTTCAAACACTTCACTGATTTGGGCTCTCCCACCTTTCTAGTTCATGTGATTCGGTCTGTCTTGGTTGTTACCACAATAGGTTTACCCATTGTAACATTTGCCATCACCTCCTGTGCCTGTTGCAATTTAGACATTTTGGATTTCCCATCACTTTCTCCGGAAAACAACCAGGACCAAGAGTATGGTGAATCTCTACAGCAGGGACACAGACAGCAAAAAACACAGAGGTTCTAACACTTAACCTCTATCCAAAACTAAAGAAAACATTTAGGGTTCACATACATTTTAAAGTGAAACTAATGCCAAACCATTTTTCCCCATTATGGATACACCTATTAGTTTTTTTTGCCATCCGTGTCCCATTGGGGAGATTTTCCTTCATGTGCTCACCCATAGCCACAGCAGGAAGTGAGGGAAATCCCTGGTGGTTAGCAGGGCCACCAGAACTATTGTTCCAATTGGAAGATTTCCTATCTGTTCCTGATCTGGTGACAACTCAAAACTTGGGATTTCTTTCCCTTTCACTTTCGGTAATAACAGTCACTAGGACAAATAGAGAGAGTGAATCTACATAACGAAGACACAGACAGCAATACAAAACAGACAGAAGTTGCAAGCCCTCTCTACTATATTTAAAACGAAGACAAAGTTTTGGCATTTGTTCCATTTTAATGAATTATAACACTGCATTTATTTAATGACGGTTTCATTGCCTCTAAAATTAACTAGGATAAGAATCCTTCTGGTTTGAATTGACGCTTTGCCAAGCTGTTTTGTCAGCACATAATGGCACAAGTCCAAAGGTTGAATGCATTTAGCTCACCACAGTCCTCAAATCGAACTATTCATTTTTGAAATGATATACACATAAGTGTGGTTTATTTGGTAGAACGGTCAAATGCAACAAAAACATGTTCTGTGAATATGAATGGAAAGTAAATCTGGCAGCAAGTCACCCAGCTGGGTGTCTTGTGACATATTTCCACAACAGGTTGCTGCAGACGGAGTCATATGCTTAGGCTATGCTAACGCTGCTGTTGTGAAGGCCGTCTCTGGCTGAAGTACAGTTATTTAGGAATTAAAGGACCTTAAAGAAGACATGTCAACCAACTTAATAAAATGAGACATTGTGTAGTTACTATATCCACACTCCTGATTTTGCTTTCATCACTTAATGACCAACTTTGGACTTTAAAAACATCAGAATAAGAGCCCTCAAATATTTATTGGTCAGCTGTAGCATGCTCCCTCTGGGTCTGACCGGACAGCTGCTTGTTTGACAGTGAGAGGCAATGAGTGGCAATGAGAGACAATGAGTGGCTGCTTAGCCAGAGCATAACGATAATGTCAATTAATGAACATTTTCTGGCTGATGGAGAGTAAAGAAGATAAGGAAATGTAACAAGGGGTTGATTCACTAATGGCAAACAAGCTGGTCACTTTGCAAGGCAAGGTTCCCTTACATTAGTGAATGTGGTGAAAATCCACTTTGATAAGAATACCCAATCACGTGCAAGGGGAATAAAATGCATAATAATTACATTACAAATAAAAACAGTATTTTTCCTTGCACGTGATTGGATGATGGAAGTCAGTAGAGCTTCACCTCATTCACTAAGCCAATGGAAAATTCTCTTTCAAAGTGAACAGCTTGTTTGCCTTTAGTAGATCAACCTCAAGGCCTTGAAGTCATGGGGTCCAAGTATGAATGCCGCCCTTCCTATTTACCAAACATCGGCAGACATTGCGTTTTTTAGTCTTAATACATTCTGTAAAGAAATTGCAAAATGTAGGAATATTATAGCAGTTTTGTTGTACAAACTGTAGATAGTGTAATTAATTGTTACATTTTAGGGTGTGTAGACACTAACATCCAATTAAACAATCTAAATGTTTTACTGATGCAATCAGGCATATACAGTAATAAATATGACTGTGTTTTTTTATTTTTTTATCAGCTAAGTGCTACTGCAAGGGTTTAAAGCCCTGTGCTGCTAGAACATGGGGATGGAGGACCGTGGCTCTCACACACATCTCTCTCTACTGCAGTCCAACTTGCCCCATTAAGCACTACTCTAATCAACATTTCTGATGCTCGCTGCGCAGGGTTGTTTGTTAGTCCGTGTTCAGAAGAGTATGTTGGGGACCTGGGCTGCTTCTTTAGTGTGACACTTTCTTGCCTGCTGCTAGCACAGGGTTTTTTAAACCCTAAATGTAGCACTGAGCAGATAGAAAAATAAGAAAAAGCCATATTTATTACTGTATATGCAGCCTGATTGCATTACAGTGATAAATTAGGAGGGTGAATTGGGCTTTATTGGTTAGCATAGAAGCTTTGTAGCGCCGGGCTCCTGGTTTCTTTGCCTATCTGAGAAACTAGCAGCTTTGGCCCTGGGTAATCTCTGGCCCTTTCACTAAAGAGAAGAGAACTTGCATATGTTCTAAATATCAAATCATGTGCAGGAGTAGTTGACATATTTTAAAGCAGCACTCCAGGGAAAATTATTATTAATCCTTGCATTGGGGCTCATCCCACACTGCAAGGGTTAACTGCTCATTTTGGTCTTGGGAGAAAAAATAACAAAGCTGTACTCCTTGGAGCCGGCTGGCTGTGACAGCGCTCCCTCCTGCCTCTCTCTGCTCTTATACTGCAGCAAGGGAATATCCCTCAGCATCCTCATGTTCTATACACTGTATATAGAATGTGATGACTCAGGGACCTTAGACTGCTGCAGCGGAGGAAATAATAATGTTTTTTTCATGCTATACAGATCTACTGATACACATCTACTGATAGGATAATTGACGTATTGGTGGGGACATTAGATTGTATGCGAATTCTACCTCACGGACGGGTGTCAATAGTTCCATTTAAAGTGTGATAGGATTTGTCTTTTTTTTTTTCTCATCAATAAGAGTACAGTTTTGTGGTTATGTTTTTATGGTTTGGTTATATGACATGCATTACTTTAATAACCTACTTAATGAAGTTCTAGAAACTTCCCGCATGAGCTATAACAATGCACATATGTTCAGATTCTTCACCGGGACTGTCGTTTTCAATTAACCCTCTGTTTGCCTTTGATCACTAAAATAAAATGCATCCTGTGGGAAGCACCTGTTATCAAATACTTGAGATCTAATTAGATAACCACATGCAAATCAAGACAATTCAACTATACAGTTTGATCTCAATGTAACTCAGTTTCCTTTTTATTCAGTTTTCAGGACTTCATATTCAATGGCAGGGAAACCAGTGAGCAGGAAGTTGAAATGAATTCAGAAACTGTACTTGAAGAATATCTCTATAAAAGGTCACAGCAGAAAAAGTGGACATCACCAGTGAACTACAAGGAAAGATTGTTTGTGCTCACTAACGCCAGATTAACGTATTATGAGGGACGTTCTGAGGTAAGGCACAAATGTAGACTCTCTGTCTTCCCTTATGTAGAACTGAACTTCAGAATCTTTAATCCGGTTACTTAAAGTGACATTAAACCCTCAGATTTTTTAACATAAACCAATACTGTAATGTGTGCCTTACTGTAATCCATGGTTGTTTCACTTCTCTTTGCTGCTCTTCCTTTTAAATCTGTATCTGTTCTCATGCTCTGCAGAACTTCTGTTTTGCAGCAGACTGCCTTGTCTCAGGAATGGATACACAGACCACGGTGTCTTTGTATAGGTTTTGTATAGGCTTGTAACCTGAGCCAGCACTACAGGAAGAGGCCCTGAGCTGAAAAGAAGTTCTCCCCAAGCATGAGAAGACATGAGGATTTAAAAGGAAGAGCAGCAAAGAGAAGGAAAACAACCATGGATTACAGTAAGGCGCACATTACAGTATTGGTTTATGTTAAAAAATCTGAGGGTTTAATGTCACTTTAAGGTTCAGAGAGAGAAATCGAAGGTCTATGACTAGTTTAAGGCAGCAGGTCATCTGCTTCTCCAGTGATTACATAATTGCATTGTGGATTAGAAATCAGTTATGATTCCTGGTATTTTCTCAGGTTTTTGGAGCAGATCCTTTTCCTGATTACCATTCTTAGTACTGGTTAGATGGTGCTCTCTTCACTGTGTGGTGTAGACTGCAGAAAGGCAGGACTATACAAAGCAATGTTTAATCTATTTGTGACAACTGCTGTTAAAGTACAGGGAAAGAATAGGCAATGCTAAGAGATTATTTGTAAGAAGTATTCTACAAAGACAATTAAGATTCTCAGTAAAGATTTTTGAGGTATCACGACAGGATTTTATTATAACTCTACTCTGTTTAGTAAGCCTAGCATTCTGTTTTCATTACACTTTGTTCCGATGCTTAATATAAGCCGAAATGCCGTGCGTGTGAAAACATTGGTTATAAATATAGGTTGCACCTGTTTTGTTCTACTGAAATCAGTGTTTCAAAATCATATTGTTTCACTTTCCAGACAGTAAATTGTGAGACCATGAAATGCATCAATGAAAATTATATATAGCTTTCCACATCCTGTTTGTGTGCGATGTACAGTTAGATATCTTGGTAAATGTACCCTAAACTTTACTAGGGTCCTTCATGGCAAAATAAAATGGACAAGGCTTCAAATTTGTGTTTGTCCATCAAATGTTTAGTTAAAGGCTACTTCTGGTCAAAACTAAAAATAAATATGTATTTCTATATTGCATTTCCATAAGTTCTCTCCCACTGCTAATAACCATATCCACCTAGACGTTTGTGAATTTGAAGATACCCATAGGATGTATTTCCTCAATGCACTGACAATTTCATTCAGTCCTGTGAATGTGTAATTCCTTGTGTCAGAAACTCTTACAGAGCTTGCCATCTGAACTACAACTCGGTGTCTGAACAATGTACCATTATCATTGCTTGCTGGAAGCAATGCATGATGGGCTATGTAGTCTTGAGAAATCGAGATTGCATCACATCAAGTAGCAAGAAAAGAGATGCAAAGTACAGTGGGAATCCAGGGAATTGTTGGAAATGATGGACAGATGGAAGGCAGCTGTCAGTACTGTCGCAAATCAGCATTGCAGCTGATCCGTTACTTGTAGTGCTACAACTTGTGTGTCCCAGATCTGCAGCTAGCTGTTCTGTTGCTTGTACTTCCACTATATTTGCTCTGTTCCTACCGTGCTCTTGCACTGGTCTGGTAGCTTTAGGCATCGCCCAATCTCACCATCTAATCCTTTGCAGCTTCTCAGCCACTCAGTGCTGTCAATTTTTGGCCAATCCAGTGGTTCCTCCCTTTGGCTGACTCTATTTAAACTCAGTGCATCTCACAGCTTACTGCCCAAGGAATGATTTTCCTCACAAGTTGCCGAGCCCCTGTTAGCCGTTGAAGCTGCCGCTCTTGTTGCTGTTACTTGTACTGACCTTTGGCTTGTTCCTAGTAATCATTGTCTGCTGCCCATCCTGACCTTTTGGCTTGTCACCTCGTGATTCTGGTCTGGGCCTGCCCTGACCTCTAGCCTTGTCTCCTGTCGACCATCGTCTGCTATTGGCAGATTAGCGTTAACCTAGGAGTTGCGACCTGAGGCCAGCATGCAGTGTAGTCCATTGCCACCATCAGGAGCTCTGGCGAATACTGGCTGGTCCAAAAACTCTACGCCCTGGGGGATCCCACACTACTCTGCCTTGTCCAGACGTTTGGTCATCCTCCGCTGAGCATGGCTCCCAGTAGGCCTAAGCTACTTACACCTTTCTTACCACCTAGGTGCTCAACAAGTGCTCACCATATATCAGGTTCAAATGCTTGTGTCCGATCCTGACAGCAGTGCTCCCTACATAAAAGGGATTTTTTTCAAGTAAGCTTTGATTACATTATAAAATTCAGGTGCAGAGATCCTAAAGTGACACTAAACTCAGGAGTTAAATCTTAAAAATGCATTCAGGTACCTTTTTAGCTATGAATGTTGCTGATTGTGCCTCATATATATACAGGTGAAACTCGAATAATTAGAATATCGTGCAAAAGTAATTGCAGTAAGTGCTGCAAAAGGGGCCCAAACCAAGTACTGAGTACATATGCATGCTTGTACTTTTCAAAGGTCCGATATTGTTCTATGTACAATCCTTGTTTTATTGATTGCATGTAATAATCTACTTTTTTGAGGTTGTGGATTTGGGGTTCTTGGGGTTTTCATGAGCTGTAAGCCATAATCATCACAATTATGACAAATCACGGCTTGAATTATCTTGCTTTGCATGTAATGAGTCTATCTCATATATTAGTTTCACCTCTTAAGTTGCATTAGTGAAATAAATGAACTTTGCACGATATTCTAATTATTCGAGTTTCACCTGTATATCTTGCATTCGTGTTTATTGTGCACCAAATATCCTTGTCTTCCTCATTTCGTGGGCTTCAGTATTTGCCTAGCTCTAGTGTTAGTTATTTGGCCCATATAACACTGGCTCCAATAATACATTTCTCCCATTGTAGCTTTGTTTCCATTGTTTGGGCTAATGCTTGTGTACCCACTTTTCTACAAATAAAGCCTTGGGGTCTAATAGTTACATATTTACCTTCTCTGGCTCACTTCAACCACTCCTGTCCTCCTGCCATAAATATATGAAATAATCCTTGGATTTATATCCACAATTGAGAATATGCAAAAGGGACTCTATATATTTCTTGACGGTTATCAACACAATATTTCCATTAAGTAATGAAATATCCTCTGGTCTGATGGGCTTCCTTCTTCCTTAATAAGGATGTAAATTAATTAAAATAAGTATTGCTCAATATACAAGTATTCAGCTCAGAAACAAAGTTTCCAATTGTTACCATCCGATGGAAGGATGACAAGAGTAATACTCTGTGTATAGACTGTTCCGAATCTCCCAACAATAAACACTGTCATTCCTTTCATACTCCACCTGCAATCACATTAATAGACTGCGCTGTTTCCATCTGGAGTTTTTTTAAAAAGTATAATATAACCATGCTGGTACATGTATATCCATGTCCCGCGTGAAACGATCACCACATGGGTGCTCAGTCACAAAATATTACCCTTTAATGTCCTGAGCCTTTTGTTATGTAAGTTTAGGGTAGTGTGTCCTTACCAAATTGGAGAGAGCCTGTCTCCGGTGCACTTAAGATAATTAATATATACAAACCTCTTTAATGTTTTTAGTAGTGGAAAAAAGAAACTTTTTATATTGTAGAGATCTCAGGACTTCCGTAGATGGAGCTAGGATTATGAGATTTAGGCCTTGTTCACACCAAGCGCAGAGCAGGTGCAGAGCAGTTGCAGACCCGATCAAAACGGCGTCCAATGTATTCCAATGGTATTTTTTGCTCCAGTTCACATCGCAGCGTGCAGTTCCAGAGCTGGTCGAGAGCAGGTGAAAAAACTGCAGCAAGCCCTATTTTACCTGCTCTGGAATGCATGCAAAAGCATCAAAAACGCATGCAAATGCCTGGAACGCACTGAAAGCCATGTTTTTTTAAAACTAAAAACGGCCCGGAATTCATCAAAAACGCGGCACAACCCACTGCACTGCGTGTGCAGAAACCTGAGCGGATCTGCTCTGCATTTGGTGGGAACAAGGCCTTATACAGCCCTGCCAGACAGCAGAGTTCAGTTGGTGACTTACTTTTTCCCTACTGCAGTTATTCAGTACAGAGTGGTTATTTGCCTGTCAGCAGCCTGTGATCAGACAGCGAAGGAACAACATACTTATGAGCTCATCCCTCTGATCACTCGGCTCTCTCCTAGTATCAGCATGTTGCTTCTCAGAACATTTGCAATCTTCTAGTGCCCTCTCACTTTGAATTTAATTGCTACTATGCATGGGGTGAAAGGAGGCTAATACCAAGTCAAATTTATATACTTGCATTACTAGCATTTAAAGGAGAACTATGAGGGGAGTGCTTTTCACTCACCTCATAGTTCTAGTCGACCTGTGACAATGAGACTGTCACAGGTCGGCTCAGTAGATCAGGAGGTGAGCGAACATATAGCGGCGGTCGCTCACCTCTCGATCCTGTCATGGCTCTCTGCAGTGACAGGGGAGGGGCTGGATTCCCCCCTCCCCGCTTCCATCCTCCAGCGCTGACTGGCGGAACGGACGGGGGCGGGTACAGCTGGCTCTGCCTCTAGATAGGCAGAGCCAGCTGTCACTCACGCAGCTGGGCGGATCTCGACATCGATGTCGGGATCCGCTCCGGCGTCTCAGTATACCGCGAGCTGTAGCTCGCGGTTATACTGAGCTTAGGGTAACGGGAGGACGCTAGTTTGCGTCCTCCCGTTACCCTAAGGAGAACTATGGGGAAAAGCCCTGACCCCATAGTTCTCCTTTAAAAAATAAAGTAATTGGGGCCCATTTAAGTTTGTGTGGTGCAGTAATGCATGTGCAATAACATGTGTTACATTACAGGAGAACTATGGGGTTAGGGCTTTTCTTC